AAATGGTGACAAGAAATATTTAATATGAAGCGGAGTATGACTTGGACCTTCTCCTCTCCTTAAGTTACAAACTTTACGAACAGCCACTTCCCAAATTTGCAACCATAAACTCAAAGAAAACACTGCGAAATTCACCATCATTAAAATTACTAAAATAAATTCCAAAAGCCACAAAAATCTACTCTTTACCACCCCAACCATCTCCTACTTATCTCTAAAATAAGATAACAAAACAGATCCCGTCCGCCGTCATTCATCGTCGTCAACATAAAAGCAACGAAAAAGTTTATGATTCTGAAAATTCGTGAATTCTTCTGCACGAGTAAAATAATCCAGTCAAAGAATATAAAAAGAAGCGTCGGTTCACCATAAACTGGAAAAGAACTGTGTATTTAAATGCGTCATGAGACGACAGAACTGACAAGGGGAAGTGAGGAAGAATTAAAGGAATAATGATGCTGATGAAATTAATCTTTTCCTCAAATTTCGTGCACATTAAGTTGTTATTTTTTCTCTGTCTCTGCAGGAACAGAAATTCTAATTTCTTTTGGTTCTTTTTTTATAAGATTAGAGTTACAGGATCTATGGACTTTTGAGGATGATATTTGCATAAAGGCTTGTTACTGATAATGGAAAATCTCATAGGAACTAAAGGAATAAATGATTGAGTTAGGATACAATTTTGTGAATAGGGATTTGTTGCACATTTTAGGATTAATAAAAGATATTTAGCATGGTGTTCTATAAGAGGAGGGTGCGGTTGAATTTTTCCAAATGGAGTTGGTATAAGCTCGGATTCCCATGGCACTGAAAACCCTACGTTAGCCTAATCAAATCAGATTTATTGATGTTGGATCAAATAAGAATAAGTCTATGAAATTAAATCTTCCCGCCTTCCCCCTTCCTTCTAATCCTCTATTCCTTTATTTTGAATTCCTACCTTGTTGCATCAGCAGACTCTCATTTCATACTGAATTAATAACCCCCAAAAATGCTCATCCCTCTCAAAAATATTAATATTCTATTCTAATATTTCTAAAGAAAACTCTTTCAATACATTGTAGCTTGCTCCTCCCTTTAGAATTGCGTATGCATCAAGCAAATTTTAGATTCAAAAAGTGAATTTCCATTTAATCCTCATATAAGTTTCTATCTTGTAATACAATTTCTATTCACTTAATATTTTCTACTTTTTCAAGACGAGTTAAAATTGATAATGCAATTCAAATTTTCTAGCATGATGCAAAGCTGTTAAAATTCTATGTGATGAGACTGTTCAAGAATTTTCTTTTGAATACAAATTTAGATTTTAATTTGATATAAATGTTGAACTTAAAAATTTTATTTCGAAACTGCAGACATTTTTGAGACTCGGAGTTGATTTTATTTGATGGAGAAAGTTCATTAGACTGTTAATTTTTTGAATAAATTTGGCAAATTTTGATTTTGTTGGAATATGAACAATGGAAGTTTAAATAAAATTTAACAAATATTGAACAAGAGTGAAGGAAAAATTGAGTCAGAACTGAGCAAAACTAATTGAAAGAGAGAGAAAGACAGCAAAAGAGAGCACACGATAGCAAAAGAGAGTGAAAGAGAGCAAATGAGAGCAAAAGATAGCAAAATAGAGCAAATGAGAGCAAAAGAGAGCAATTGAGAGTAAAAGATACCAAAAGAGAGCAAAAGAGAGCAAAAGAGAGCAAAAAAGAGCAAAAAAGAGAGCCAATAAGAGCAAAAGATAGTAAAAGTTGGCAAAAGAGAGCAAAAAAGAGAAAAAGAGAGCAAAAGAGAGCAAAATAGAGCAAGTTTCATCAAAAACTCGATTTATTTAAATCATTCATTAATTATTTATTAACAATTCGACAATAACTCCATAAATCCCAACAATCCTCATCCTTTATATCAATATCAAAGCCTATAACCCTCCAATATCATCCGCACATGTACAATTGATCTAAACAATACTCCTCAACCTTTTTCAAAACCTCTAACTGAACTGCGATTATTGATTCATTCATGAAAAATACCCAAAAGCATTTACGTCGAAAGGAAACAATCATCATGAACGGAATCGCTCTTTTTAGATCAGAAATCGATTTACTTTAACCTTTTTTATGCTTCTCTCACATTCCTTACAAAGTGATATGCAGTAAATGATGATATTATTTGGTAGATTCATTGAGTTGCTGAAACATTTATGAATAAATAATATGAATTCTTTTAATGGATTTTTTTCTAGCAATAAGAATCATCATTCAGTTCATTGTTATCAGAACAATATTCCTTTATGTCTAGATCAATCTTTAAGAATTGGAAAATATGGTCTCCATTCACAAATCGATTTTTACAATTTTTCTCACAACTCACAAAATAAATTTATTCATTCCAGATTCAACCTTGATAATGTCTAAGGTTACAGGTTATCGTCCCATTATGAATACAAATAAGCTCTTCCAATGATGTGTTAAGTTCATCGACTTAATATAATGTAATTTTCTATCGTTAACAAGTGCCATTAATGCTATCATAATGACAGAGTTCATTTGTCGATAAGAGGATATGTCTGGGGACTTATATTCGACTAATGAATGACATTAGTATGTGATGTGGAATGGGGGTCAGGCAGCACTTATTGGTATGATTGTTTGTATGTTTGTCCTCGAAGAATTAGTCAAAATAATAAGAATTTAGGTAGATTTGTATCAGACTGCTAATCTGTAATAGATCAGTGCCTGTGGCAGTCCTGATGTTTAAAACAAAGGTCAAATAAGCTTTAAGCAACATTTTGTGATTAAGTCAACAATGCGAAAGTCCAAGAGGATCCAAGTTGCATCCAAATCTGCAATATAGATTTAACTGCTTGCCAATCAATCCCAAAAACATCTTAATTAAGCAAAAGGACGTAATTTGATTCTAGTTAACTTATTGGCATCCAACAATTGAAATGTTTCGATATGATTAAGACTGAACGACCTTATTAGCTCTTTTGAGTCAGCATCCGTAGATTCATGTTGGTACACACCAATAAACTATCAGCTGAATCAAGCTTTGGTTAGCTTTTGATGTTCAAACCATCAAAAAGAAGGCGAGGAGAGAGAGGAACAGCTTTGTTCAAACTACAAAATTGTTAATTTGATTCCATATCCTTTAAACAATTATTGAGTTTCGATTAATGTTCAGATACATCACCTAAACTTCATTGCATACATCAAAAACTGCTTCATAATTGAAACATATGCATACAGCTTTATATCCAGCAATAGTTGAACTACACACTCATTTAATATTGACATATAAATTTACCTACCAAACCAGACGATTTAATTTACTTCAAGGCATTAAGCAATTTAGTCCTTAATTAAAATGTAAACCTGATAAAGCTCAAAAACCATAAAAAGCTTTTAAAGTTTGTAAACTTTCGTAATAGACTTCGTTAATTTGATAGAAAATAATTTAATTTAAAATTCATTGAATTTTTCATCGTTTTCGGATAATTTATTAATTTTCGCTTAATTAACTTTTATGGCACGTTTGAAAAAATAATTTTTGTGGGAAAATAATGCCTTAAAAAGGAGGACAGCGACGGTACGTTTCGTATTTTTCTGCTGAAATTTTTCATTTTTTTAAAGGTTAACTTGTCGTTTTAGAGGGGGAAGCAGAAGAAAATCTTGGGAGGGGGTAGAAGGGGGGTTCTTGGCTCTGTCCCATTTGAATCGTGAATCTCCAACTTAAAAGGCTGGGCCCTCTTAATGCATTTTTGGCTGCGCCCCTGTTTTATTTTGAAGGAATTGTCTCAGACTAATAAGATGAACGTGCTTAAAATTAAAATGAATTAATAAGAAAGAATGATGAATTTTTTAGTGTCTTGTAAAGGATCCTTGAAAGTTTTCACTCACTTTTTTACTTTTCTGCAGCTTAGTTTCAAAGGAAATTCTTGAGAATGCGAGGACCATCCACTTATGTCCTTCTTTGTATTAAATAAAATAAACTTCAACATCAAAGTCAATATTCCACAAAAGGACATCAACTTTGTACACAAAAATTTAATAAAGAAAATGAAGAAACGTGAGAAAATGAAAGAATATTGATGTACGTTGTTTGAGACGAAAGAAAAAGTATCTCAAAATATTGATAAAGGCAGCAGCAACGATGCGAGAAAGGCAAAATGATGGGGATTATTCCATGGAATAGAGCATAATTTATAAACAAGATATTATAAAAGCAGAATATTTTCTCATGATATAGAGTATCATGGCATTGGATAATGTAGAGAGACAAAAAATAGCGACGGACAGCATAAAAAATCAAAGCACAGCAGTATTATATTATTAAGTAGAGGCGAGTGATCAAAAGCGCAATAAATATGTATTTTTTTACAGAGGTTAGGGAATCAAAAAGTGGAATCAAGATTTTATTGCTAGACGCTGGAATAAATTGAGGTGCATTTTTGAGAAATATTTTAAGAATTTTTATTTCTGAAAATTTTAAATTTTATTGAAATTTCAATTTTTAAACTTTTTGATTTTTTAAGGCTACGATTTTCTGATGTTTTTAAAATTTATTTAAATTTTTGATTTTTTAAAGGTACGAAAAAATTTTTGATTTAATAATTTTTGATTTCAAATTTTTTTTTGATTTTTAAAATTTTTAATTGTTGTCATTGTAAATTCTTAATTTTTATTTTTTTTTATTTTTATGTTTTTTTATTTTTAAAATTTTTGACAATTGCAATTTTTAATATTTTAAATTCTTGATTTTTTAAATTTTTGCTTTTTTAAGTGTTCACCTTTTCAAATTTTGAATTTTATAATTTTAAATTTTCAAACTTATTTCAATTTTTTTCCTATAAAATCTTCAACTTTTTATAATATATTTTAAAAATTTAAATTCATAAAATACCGAGTTCAATGTGATAAAGGAACCACAGATTTATTCACCAAAAATGCACCTCCCACATAAAAAAAAAATGTAATAAAACGTTTGTCATTCACAGGACTTACCGTTTATATTCATGAATAAAAATAAGTTGTACAAATAGAGTTTTATAAATCCCCATATAATCCGCATTATGGTGTATCCGACAATGCATAAAGTTGAGGATCATCAGCATATATACAGCACTATAACTATTATTATTTTAATAATAATGTATCTTATTTAATTTTATAGTACAACACACACTTATGTACACTTAGTTATACGTAAAAGTTTTTTGATTTTATGTAGACTAAGTTCCTTGATAGTTTAAGCACTGCTGAGAAGATGTATGACTTTAAATATTTATTTGTATCATTTCCTCAATCCATTCATCCAACACAAGTCTTTTATTGTTTATACACGACACAATCAGTGAACTTTCTTCCATTTCTTCACATTTCCTTTTCTCGTTCCTTCATGTCATTTCATGTTGAGTTTTTTTGTTCTCTCTCTTTAAAATGAACTTGCAGTCATCACGTCAGTGTCTGCTTGATAAATATTATTTTTCTTTCTTTCGTTGAATTACAACTTTTTCTACTCAGCTGCAATTGTAACAAAAAATGAATCAGAAGCGAGCAAAAAAATTGGATGAAGAGATAAAAAGTTTGTAAAGGACTTTTCATATCTCTCATCGCCACTACATGATTTTACACTTTCTATAATTTTATATTTTTTTTTTGTGCAATGTCCCTTGTCAGAGATTTTGTCAGAATGCTATCGGATGGAGTCTAGACGTGAGACGAGGGTTGGGGACGATGATGATGTTTTGAGATATTTAAATAGAAATTTCAAAAGAATTTGAATCTTGATTGGATGACGAAGATACTTTTGACTGAAAGCTCAGCTGTATGTTTGGAAAAGTAGCTATAAGATTGATTAATGTTAGGATATTCCAGACTAAAAAGCCAGTCTGATAAAGTTTTTTTTAAAAATTGAATTTTAAAGCTAATCGTGCTTTTAATAATGCTAAATGACACAATATTAGTTATATTAAAATAGGATGGACTAAATTTTATAAGATCAACCCCACCCGGAAGTTTAAGGTGGGGGGGGTCCTGAATTTTCTATTATGAAAAATCAAAATAATTTAAAATAATTTTTTTTGTGTGGATTAAATTTTACAAGAGGACTCAGGGAGCGGGGGGAGGGGGTCGGAGGGGAGAAGGGGTAAATATTCAAGCAATCTCATATTCTCAAGTTCCATCTCTGATCTCGACTGCTTCAAAAAACTTCTAAACCAAAATTACGCCCTAAGAACTCGCTCTCGTCAGGGCATATGAGACCATGTCAGTAAGTCATCTCATACATCCTTTTACATTCCAATTCAAAGCTCCACACGTGAAATAAAAAATCCGAACAAACAATTCCAATACACCAAAGTAAAAAGCACTCAAATCCATCAAAAATAAAATCCATAAAGCCTCATCCAATTTACACAAATCCTTACTTCAAAATACCAATTCATATCCAAGGAGATTCCATGCAATTTCGCTACAAGAGTCCAATTCAATGCCGTTTTTTTTTTTCACTATGAAAAATGTTCACTTTAGAGTGTTGAGATTTATGCATCGAGTTTATTCACATGGACATTCGCAAATCGAGATGGAGAGCGGAATAAAATTCCAATGATGACGATGATAAAGGCAAAAAAGCTTAAATTTATGGTTCAAGAGATGTACAATTGCTTGCTTCTTTCACTATTCATGTAACAGGAAATTGTTATCACTATTTCGATGCAGTTCTTTCATATCTTTCTCATCTATCTTTTTGTATGTTGTGAATGAACTAATATCGCCATAACTGATGTACATTATTCCGATAGTTGCGATTGGGAAAAAAGAATGTGGAGTTTAGAATGGATTTATGGTTATGGAGTTGTTTTGGGCGCATTTTTGGAGGTCAGATGGGGTTTGGTCTTGAAAACACTCTGTAAATTGATCTGACAGTGAATTTAAGACACAGTAAGGATGAAGGCATACCTGAAAAACACTCCTGGACCCTTATTAATGTCCGCTTTATTAAAATTCGACACAATCCAGATAATCTGAATTTCCCATCATGTTGTTTCCCCCTCACAAAAATCTTAACCTCAAAATTTTAAAAATATTTTTTAATCCTTAAAAATCAAATCTAAACCTTAAATCTCATCAAATTCACAGACAAATTGCTCTGTTCTGTCTCCTATGAAACTGTCATCTACCTCAAAATCACTCGTTTGAGCAAAAAAGAAGCTCAGAAAAAAATATCGTTAGTAGATAAATCCATCAACAGCAATTCACTTGGAAATTTATGAGCATGAATTCGCTCATGAGGGGGGAAAATGTGTCTGGGGCTTCTTGAGCAAGAAAGCAGTGCTCTCGTTTCATCTTCGTTGTGCATTTCAAAAAAGGAAATAAATTTTTCACTCTATATTTAATGTGATTGCATATTTCCATTTATTTTATATTTATTTGTATGCTGAATGCTTCCTTTGCTTTTCGAGGATCTATTATAATTTATTTGTGGTGCATGCTTTGTAATTTTAATGGATTTTTTTTCTTTTTGTTTCTTGTGGAATTGATTTTGTGTGTGTGTGTCGAGGTTGTTTGGAAATTGACTTAATTGGGTTAATAAGAATTCCATTTATGGGCAGCGATTGGCTAGTTTGCAAAATTTATGTTTACTTGCTGTTAAAATGAAAAGGAATTTTTACAATGTCTTACAAAGGTTCTGACCTAGCAGGCAGCTTGCATCAAATTTTAATTAAGGTTTTATACATGCTGAGACACACGTTGTGTTTAAAAGGAGTTATTTTGGGCTGCCATGATCCAAAGTTTTGGAATGTTTTAAAAAATTACATCAATTCCGTTTGAATCGAAAATATTTGATTCAAATACTCAATTTAATGAACCAAATAGACTTTTGGAATTGAAATTAAATTGAAATCAATCACACACAACACAAAGCAACTTCAATTCATTCGAAAAAGCATCAAAGCATCGAAAAGTGTTCAAAATGACAAATTTTCATTCTCAAATGCACAACAAAATAGCAATGCAAAAATGAATTCAAAAGCATCAATGTACGAGTAATCACAGCTTCAAATTCATAAGATCTAAAAGAGCACTTCAGTTGCATCTATGAAAATGAAAAAAATCTTCAAGAATTTCTAAGCTTTATCAGCTGTTAAATAATTCAGTTCAATTCAATCTTTACGATTTTGAGGCAAAATTTATTCATGAATGAAAATGGTATTTATGATCAATCCATGCGTGGATGAAGTTGTTGACATGATGACTATGAAATTTGATGCAGAATTTATGTGAACATGAATAGATGAAAATAATCTGTATCATTTAGGATAAAGAGCAGTGATTGTATTCAAAATTGATTGATTTTTGACTTTTTTTGCTGGCTGGAAAATTTGTAGATTTAACGTTCATTGACTCTTAAGGTGACTAGGCGAGTTAAAGGAGTAAAAAATTAAAAATTTATTTTCTAAGGCAGTGTTTCTCAAACTTTTTCGGTCCACTTTTGTACAAAAAATTTTTCCCAGCACAATAAATGATTCTCATGCCTTTCTGAAGAATTCAAAGATTTTATTCAAAGAACTTGAAAATATAATGTGCTGCGTCACACAATTTGAGAACCACTGTTCTAAGGGGAAAACAACATGATGAGAAAAAGTTTTGTTATGAATTGTCTGAATTGATTCTCACCAACATTAATTTTTTCATCCCCTGACAATCTTCGGTTTCATTTCAAGCAACTGAGCTACTTATGCTTTACTTAACAGCTCTTGACAGTTGCAGAATTTCCCCAAAAAGCCTTTAAAGCATGGTTGTCAAACTTTTTGAATAACGGCACACCTTAGAGAAAATCCATAATTGAAGTCGCACACAGAATCCGACTCGTGTCATTTAAAAAAACTATTATAGTAAACTAGTGTGCCGCGGCACACAGTTGTGACAACACTGCTTTAAAGCTTCAAAAAAATAGAACCAAAATTTTCCCTTTCACATTTTCCAAAAAAAAAAACATTCATTTTCCTTTTAAATTGTCTGATTTTGATTTAAATTAATTTTTCATGATGTCTTCTTTGAATCTGTTCTCGTAATTTATTTATTCTGAATTGAAATAATCTTTTTATTCTGTTTTGATTTCAAGAAGCAGCAAGCCAATTTGCATTAGAAAGGAAAACAAATTGTCATGATTTTGAAATTAGATAATTGTTGATGGTAATTTTGGTATTGTAGGAAGTTTTTGCTAGGATTCGGAGAATTAATTTGTTTTAAATTCAGGGGAGCAGTAAAGATATTTTGGACCTAGATTTACTGTACGGGAATTTTTTTGGCATTATTTTGTGGCGCTTGATACTAAACCTCAAGTAATTGATCAGAAATCCGACGGTAGAATTGATTCTGTCGATACTTCGTATTTAAATCAAACTTTCAGCTTAACAGAACTGAAGTGGTTTGGTAGCGTAATGGTTTAGTACTTTGGTACCTAATCATTGCAATCCCGACACGATCGTGGGTTCGAGACTGGGTATTGGGAATTTTTGCTTATCTTTTTTCGAATCCTGTGTACTGGAAATGAGTCTTCTTTTGTAGGCTACAGACAGAAATGTTTTTTTAACCGACTTGTGCTGCCTAATGATACTTGATTGCTACGCCACTGTTTAAATTGAATATTTTAATAATTGTTGTGTGTTTTTGACGCAATATGGAAATGGGCTCGTTCACTTATTACGTAACGCAAAAAAACGAGTTTTAGACCCCCCCTCCCCCCCCTGTAACAAAGCGTAACAAAACCTTAGACCCCCCTCCCCCCCCCCCCATAACGTAACAATAATTTTTTTCATTTTAATTGTTTATCAAATGTTTATTATACTTCCTTTAAGTATGTAAAAGTAAATAGAAGGAAAGCAATAAAAAAATATATTAATCGTTTACATCCATATTATTAACTAAACGCAAAAAAAACTCATAAGTTTTGTAATCATTAGTCGTTTTCCCAAATTGGTTGAAAATGATCTTCAACTGCAAATACATTTTGATATTCAACAATAATATCAGTATTTGCTATTTGCACGTTCCTCTTCAATATCCAAGTTCTCAGCTTCTACCCAATCCAAATATAATTTTTGAAAAGTTACGTAACAAAATTTAGACCCCCCCTCCCCCTGTAACAAACCGTAACAAAATCTTAGACCCCCCCTCCCCCC